TTATATTGGTGGGCCACAGCCTACATCATTAAAATAATATATGTCAAATTTGGCATACTCGGAGGCATGTCAATTTGCCATTTTTTTTCTTCAAGAAATTCAGGTGAGTTTTTTTTTTTCTTTTTTTCTTTTTTTGCGTATGTCAATTTGAGATGATGCAATTTTCACATTAGATTTGATTTAACAATTGAGGTGGAGATGATTTTTTTTCTTCTTCTATTTTATTTTATTTTTTATTTTTTATTTTTTGAACGAAAGAGATGTTTAGATCAAAAAATAAGAGTAGATAAATCAACCCTAACAATTCAATTGGAAATGATCTTAAATGACAAATTGTCATATGCAAATTTAATATTTGTAGAAAAAAGCACTGCATGAGATATGCTAAATTTATTACTTTATTATTTTTTTACTTTAATTTACTATAACAAAAAAAAGAAGATAAAAGTAATGAAAATTTGAAATAGACCATTAAAATTATGAAAAGAATCAAAATTAAAATATCTCTCAGTCATGTCAAAATTAACATAACTGAAGTTTATGCTAATTCCACATCAGATTTAAGCAATTCAATTGAAGCATTTTTTATGTTAATTTTATCAATTATATAGAGCTTTAAATGAAAATGCTATAATAAATCAAATTCACCAAAAATTATTGAAAGTGCTAAGACGGGTTGGGCCAAGCCCAAAATTACTGAAGAGTGAGCTGAAGAGCCCAAGGATCATTTTTGTTCCTTTTTAGTTGATATTTAATTGGGCTGATCCTCTGTGCTTCTTAGGCTTTTCTTCTCTGTAAAACAAACGGGCCTAAGGTTAACTTAGCCATATTATTTTGGATATGGCTTATAATTTTTTTTTTCTTATTATAAAAAGATGTATAAAAAAATAGACGTGATTTAAATAAGTCAATAAACTAATAAGTAACTTATTTATAGTGTTGTCAAATTATTATTAGCTAAAAAAGGGGTCGAAAACCAATGCTCATATCATTATCAATTGACAATTCTGAAATAACAACTAAACGAAATTTTTATTAGAGATTTTCTTATATTTAAATACTATTTCACTACAATAAATGCAAATTTGGCGATCAAATTTGGCGACTAAAAAAAACTTTAGTCGAAACTTGTGGAATTGGCGACTAAATTTTTTTTTAGTTGACAAAAGTACAACATTTAGCTACTAATTATTTTTAGTTGGAAAATATTTGATTATTGGCGACTAAAAAAAAATTTAGTCGCTAAAAATGGCACAATTGATGACTAAAAAATGTTTTAGTCACTGTATATATGGTTTTGGCTACTAAATTTTTTAGTCGGCGAATGGAAAAAAAAAATAATTACTTTCAGACTTTTGGCGACCAAAGGTGACCAAAAATTTGGTCGCCAAAAATTTATTTTTACTGACTAAAAAATATTTTAGACGCCAAAGAATTAAAATATTTGGAGGGAAAATTTCGAATTTTGGAGGGATTTATAAAATTAATTAACGACCAAAATTTTTAGTCGCCAAATTACTACTTTTAGCAACTAAAATAATATTTAGTCGCTATTAATTAAGGTTTTGACAACTAAAAAAATTTTAGTCGGCATTGATCAAATTTTGTCTAAGACTACTCTATCAGTCTTCTTCCATTTCACTCTCTCATCATCCCTCTTCTCTCTCTCTCTCTCTCTCACTCACTCACTCCATCGTAGGCGACCCTTCTACGAGCCACCGTCCACCACTGTTGCACAAGAGCACCCACCTCCTCACTGGCGACGGTACGACCCACCTCCCTACCAGCGACGGTACCACCCACCTCCCCACCAGTGACAAACAACCGTAGCTACTTTGATTTGTGTCTCCTCCAGCACACACCAGGTATTTCCGGCCTCTCTCTCTCTCTCTCTCTCTCTCTCTCTCTCTCTCTCTCTATATATATATATATATATATTTTTTGTTTTTTCACCCAATTTCTAGGGTTTTATAACAAAGAATTTTTTTTTTTTTTTGGGTTATAAATCAGAGGGTTGGAGCTTCTCTTCTATCTATTTCTCACAAGAGCAGCGTTTTTTCCTCTCTATTTCTTGCTCGCAACAACAATTGGGGCACACCCTGGTATTTCTTCTTCTTCTTCCCCTTCCTCCCTCTTTCTCTCTCTCAACCATTGGAGCACACCCTGTTAAATCCAATTGATTCTTTTATTGTCCTACATAATGATTCTTAATCGTACTTTCATTCAATTCTAATTTTCTTTTAATCAATTAGTTTGTGTGTCATGATGTTGCTATTGTTGTTGTTGGTAGTTTATTTGTTGTTGTTGTTTGGGCTATGCTTTTTATTGTTGTTATTTTCCACCCTCTTGCTCACCATGTGTTTGACAAAATGTTGAAACGAAATTGGTGAAGTTGAATTGACAATTTGTTTGCCTTTTTATAATTGAAATTGAAATTGAATGTTATGGAAAGTGAAATTTCAAAGTCATTGAACCTTCCTTGCATGCTTTTGGGCTGACCCACTAGTTGACTTGAAAATTAAGACCATAAACAAGAGTATGTTTGATGAGTTAATAAAGCCTCATTTGAATTCATTAGTAACCCCTCACACAATCACACACACACACATATAGATATATGTATTTAATAACTGAAGAGGTGTATTTTTATTTTCTATTTCTAATCATCAAGTTTTAGGTTAAAAAAAAAGTTCTACTAAACAGGGTAATAAATGATGGGATTTGGGTTACCAAATTAAGGACTTGCTAAAAATGGGTTAATACAATATATGACGGAAACTGTCAGAGTTCCCAAATATGAATATAAGGATAACACATCTTGTGTCATCAGCTAATAAATGTCATAAATATATGAAGTGGTTAATCATTGTTAACTTAATCATTTCAAAAGGGAAACCATACATTCATGTTAACTTATGCTCAGAAGTTCTAATGGATCTTCGTTGTTTTCCTTTTTGTTAACAAATATTTTAATAATTACAAAAAAATAGTTGAATTTTTTTGCATATTGGATTAGGACTATATACATCTAATCCTTTTAAATTCTATAGCAACAAGAGTCTCGTGTTCTAAAATTTTCATTTTTATAAGTAATTATTCTGTCTTTTCTAAATACTATGCTAGTTATGCACACGTCCAATAATAAGACTATATACTTACTATGGCCGACACACACAAAAAAAAAAAAAAAAAAAAAAAAAACACTGAAGCAAAAGATAATATGAACAAATTATGAAATATCATTAGTTGAACATATGGTCAATATTCTAAACCCATGTAATAATTTATGCCTTTTTACATAAATCTATCATCAACAAACACAAATGGACATATAATAATACCTTATTTTTCTTCCTAATTAACCCAAAGGCTTACATGAACAACATAACATATAACAAATACTTTACGAGTTTGAAGTCCCTTTCACAATCACATTCTTGGAGAAATTATTATAGAATGAATCACAAAAGAGAAATTACACTCAAACATGACAACTAATTGGCTCGACGAGGTGGAGGAGGAGGCAATATGTATGGAAAACCTTTGGATGCAGTAATCGAATCTCTTCGGTTCTTGTCATGAAACCTCTGAATATAATTTGAAAATCTATTATCAGTATAATCATTAACTTCTGAGACCATGTAAGAAGAGCCCTTATTCTCACTTGGATCCATCAAGTAAGAGTATGACATGGAATCACTCTCTGGCTTTTGTGACTTCTGAGTCTGACTCCCTTGAATTTGAGAAACCTTCAAGACATTCATGGAAGGGACTATGCCTTGTCGGCCTGGACGGTTTTGGTCAGGTAAGGTATGTCCCATCACTACAAGAAATTGTACTTTTGGCAACTACTTTTGGCGACAACGTCAATTTTTCATCGCCAAAAGTTTATTTTTGGCGACACAGTGATCAATTTCGTTGGTAAAAGTATACATTTACCGACGCAATTTGCTACCGTTGGTAAAAAAGCATAACATTCTTTTAGCGTCAAAATTTTTGGTTGGCACCAAAATTTCTATACTTTTAGCTACGATGCTTATATTTTAGCAACACAATGAGCGTTGCTATTAGTGTGCATACTTTTGGCGACGATAAATTGGCGTGGGCAAAGAGTTACCCATTTAGCGACGATAACACTATTCGTCGGTAAAAGTTTTGCTAGTGGAATGATGTGATTTAATGATTTGTATTTTTGATTGCAATTTTTCAAAGAGTTTTAAATATTCTAATTATTGAATTGTAAAATTAAAATGATCATTAGATCACAAAATGAACCCATTAAGTCCAAAGACACTCTTATGTTGAGATGACTAATTTGAGATAATTTAAACTTTTTCAAAGAATATGATTAGATTATCAATTTCAATATGTTTGGTTTTATTTTTAAAAACTAATTTCAATTTTTTTTCCTAAAAAACAAAAAAAAATTGGGTGAAAAAAAAAACTTATTATTTTTGTATATTTTTATCTTTTACGTCATAAATACTTTTTAAAATTTTAAAAATATAATTTTGAATTTTATTGCTCTCAAATTATTTTTAATTTTTTTCAAAAAAACAAATCTAAAAATTGTTTTGAAATAATAATAATAATAATTATTATTATTATTATTTTAGGGGGGGTGATCTGATTATCTGCAGTGGCAAATTCCCTCATTTTTTTCCCTCATCAAATCTCCCCTCATCAATCTCCACGATTTCACTATTGCATACCCTTATCTCAAAATTCATAGTTATCTCTCCCTCACGATTTCACTCTTGATCGTAGGGTTTGTGCTGTTTACTGTTGCCATGCGAGACGATCGGTGCGTCAGTCAGCCCCTACAGGTTTGTTCCTACTACTATAAAAATAATTAAAGATCACACTTTGATAAATAAAAATATCTCACTTTTATTAAAAGTGTGATAAAAAAAATTAGATTGATATTTTAATCACGCTTAATTTGATTAAGTATGATAATATTTATTTTTTATGTCATTTTTTAATTAAGTGTGATTATATATATATATATTTTAATCACACTTTCTAAACAAGTGTGATTATATATAATTTTTAATCCCAAGTTCTAAATTAGTGTGATGAATATATATTCCTTCAATCCCAAAAATTAAATTCCAAAGTTCATTCTGACGCCCAGCCCTAGTCCCTCACTCACTCACTCTCTCTCTCTCTCTCTCTTTCTCTTCCTCTTCTCTCTCTCATCTGAGATCCAGATCATGAGGTAGATCAAAATCCAAATCCCAGGGCCAACCGCCACTCCTTCGTTGGAACTTCCAAGCCTCTCATGTCAGTCCCTGCATTTCTTTTTCTGTCTTTCGACAATGATGATGAGATCATGTTCTGGATGACGGTAAGATCAATGGTTCACGATGACGATCTGGAAACCGTACCGAAGATGTGTTAAATGTAGAAATCTGGATGGTAATGGGTTTGCGATTTGTATGATGATCTCGAAGCTGTGTTAGACCAGATCTTTTCTTGCGATTCACCAAGATCAGAGGGTTTATCAAAACCCCAACGAATACATGGGCAGGGCAGGGCAGAGAAGAAGGTAATGAAGCACGGAGACAGAGGGTTTATCGATTCTTCAACTATTTGTGTACAATGGTTCTTGTATTGCAGTCTTGGAGGTAAATTTTGCCTGTTAGTCCTGAAGTCATAGAAGGTGTATTTCTCATTTTGGTTTCAATCTGAGAAATGTGTTAATCTTGAATTATTGTTTGTTTAGGTCACAGTGGTTATTATGCTTAGTAGAATCAACGTTGAGTTGAGAAATGAACATGTTGACAGTGAATGGATCTAACCCCACAATGGCAGTTGCGACAACTACTGCGGGTGATCAGCAATTGCAACAGACTGCAAATGTATCTGAGAAAGAGAAAGAGAATGAAACATCAATAACAAGTAACGACAATGACAATGACATTGGCAATGGAAGTGGCAAAGAAAGCCCCTATTTGCATGAGGAAAGTGATTTACCATAAAGGTATATTACTTTTTGGATCAACAGAAATGCAAACCATAATAGCAATCCTCATGTTTTTAATTAGATTTTCCTTAATTATTAGTTTTTTGCAACCCCCTGGCTTTTTTGGGTTCACTCTACTTTGGGGTTTGAAATAATCTCTTTTTAAGTTTGCATTTATTGTTTTGAAAATGTTGTATTTGAATGTAGCTTGGAACACAACCTCCCTGATTGTCCATTTGCATCTCCTAAAGCTGCTGTGGACTTCTTTGATGATAAGTTAGCCATAATTGGATGATTTAGTTTAGTTTTACAGGGATTTTTTGTGGCTCCTTTTCTTCAATCTCACTACTATTGTTACTCTTAAAGGTATTAAGAAGTTCTCCTTATTCGTTTGTTATTTAAATCCTTTTACTTTCATTTGAGTTTTCAATCTCTTACTCAATTCATTGTTATTTACATGGCTTATTCCAAAAATCTGTTTTCCATAACTTATGTTGATTGCATAGGATATCTTTAGAGTTGAGCGAGTTGACCTAGATGGTAAAAAATTTGATAGAGGTATGTTTTCTAGTTTGGTCATGTTTTCTACAGTTTCTTGTCGTGTTTTTTTTTTAAAAAAATATATATATTTATATATACATTTTTTATTTTTTGCAAACGTATCCTAGACGTACCCGTATCCGTATCTTACTTTTTTAGGTTTTGCTGTATCACTGTATCCGTATCGTATCTGTACCTCGTATCCGTGCTAATCAGGGTTTTAATGTAACTGGATTTTGGCCTTATGATACCATTATTATCCAAAAATATGAAGCTTATTATGAGAGGATGTTCAGGCTATCATTCTTAGGCAAACAACTCACTATAATTGGCTTGTTATGGCTATGGGTTTACACAAATTCCATAGGTGGTAGAGTGATTGCCCTTGTCCAAGGAGTGTGGGTAATTTAATTTATCACCCCAAAAAAAAAAAGGCTGGTCTATAGCTGTTTAGTCCAAGGAGTAGAATTTTCAAGCCTTAGAGTAAAAATTTATGAGAACTTATACATTTGCACAATTTGATGTGCATGCAATGCATCATGTTGTGGTTTCTTTTGGCCTGGAATATTCAGTTCAGTATTTTGAAATGTTATACAATTGCGAGCTTGAGGTGTTGGAAGCTGTCATTGAACTTCTTATGCCATCAACATCATTGGCATGTATATAGAGGCAGGCTGTGAATGATGGCAGATTTGAGCTGAGTTCTTGATGCACTAAAGATTTAGGACCAATTGTTGACAATGAATGGCACACAATCAAGCAGTAAGGAAGCAAATCTAAGACGCTAATTCATTTCAGTTTTGTGATAAAGTAGTATTTAGGTTTGTGTAATTTAGAATTTTGTCAATAGGTGTAGTTTTCTTAGTTGCAAGGTAACCTCCTTTGGAGGTGAGTGCTTGCAAGCTGCTTGTAAGCAGCTTGTCATCTAGTTTGATGTAGTGGTTGCATGTAGGCAATAATATGTCACCAGTTTGGGTTAAGTGGCTGCATTTTTGCCACTTGTTGCTTTCTTATTTTGTGCCTTTTCTATTCCTAGCCTCTTCACCATAAAGTAACCTCCTTAGCTATTATATATAGGGCTATAATCTCTCTTGAAGAGGTTTTTTGAGGAATTGAAATTTCAGATTTTTTTATTTCATTGTGCCATATTTTGTTATTCATTAGCACTTGGTTTTGAGTCCCAAAGCTCGTGGAATTCAAGCCTGGTTGCTTGATGTTTCAGAATCTAGTCCTAAAATCTAGTTCTTGCATATTTTAGCCTTGATTTGAGTGTTATTCGTGTTCACCACCTTTGTTTGTAGTTATTGGAGCCTCCAACCAAACTACATGATGTTCCATTATAAGGTCTTGGGGGAAGAGGTGTATGGAGTAGTGCTGGTTTTCCTTGGAAGAGTATTTGGTGTGTTAAGGTGATTTCCTAGTTGATATCTTTACTACAAATTGGCTCTGAGAAAATTTCTCACAATTAATAATGTGGTTAAAAGGGAGAATGTACTCCCCTAATTGGTTATAATGGCCCTGTTTGGTAGAGCTGTGGGAAAGTGCTTATAACTTATGTCTTAACAGCTTATAGCTTATAACTATGAACATAAGCTGATTTCTGATTTATAAATTAAGCTTCTCCTGCCCCACTCAAAGAATAAGCTGATTTCTGACTTACAAAAAGCTATAAGCTGCATTGTTAAGCTAAACCAAACACATCAAAATAGCTTAAATTAAGCTAAAAGCTGAAATAAGCTGAAAAAAAGCTGTACCAAATAGGGCCAATATCTTTTAATGACATCTTTCAATATATATAAGAAGAATAAGATGAAGAATAATAACATGTTTAATATATCTCCCTTTAATGATAATTAGATACTTTTGATGTATTCAAAGAGTCTTTATGACTTCTCTGAAATATAATGCAGTGTCTGCTAGTGTTTGGAGCTAATAGCTTCATAATGTGTTTCTTAGTTTCTCGAATTGAAGCAATCAGTGAGCAGCTTGATACGCACATGCAGCTTGATGTAAACATAGAGATATATCCTCTCCATGTTGGGGAGAAATTCATGATGGTATTAGCATCCACTCTAAACTTGGATGGAACACCTGACAGTTGTTATTATACTCAGGTAATCTTAATCTTCCTGGAACTTTTTTATTACTGATGAATAAACTTTGAATACCACATCAGCTGTCACATTAGTATTACTTGGTCATTTAGTTCTCACACTATTATTAGTTGGTGACTTGCCCTTGCAATTTGACCCAAGTCATTCAAGCTTAGTCCTCAGACATGGTGTGAATTGAGATGATGTTGATTGAGTAATGCAAATATCCAATTCCATCTCTCCACACTCTAGGAACAGGTTCTACTCTTGGTCATATTACTGTAATCCATTTATTCAGAGTGTTGAATATAAAACCAAAGAAAATTATCAGTGAACAACAAAAAATAATAATGATGGTGATAATAACAATAAAATAAATAACTCTAAAAGAGAGAAATGGATGACATAGGAAAACTTCTTGATGATCAAGGTGTGATATGGTGGTAATTGTTTAAGACTGAAAACTCTCCTCCTTAGGCTATGTTTGCTTGAAGGATTTGTAGAGAGAAAGGAAGGCAAAATAAATAAAATAGAAATTGTATTTTTGTCACATTTCCCTTACTTTTCCTTTCCCACCACTAATCCCCACTCAAATCCTAGTCCCAAACACAATCTTAATGTAAAAGTTTTGCTAGTTGTTATTCATGTCTTGATGGTCAAAACCTGCTGATTAATAAAAGAAAAAACAATGTAGATTTATACTATTAATCTCTCTTCCTTTAAACGTAGAAATTAGTATTATATTGTATTTTTTGTACCAAACTTAGTTTGTAGTTTTTGGTTTTAGTGACAGCCTAGCAACTTCATATATTTGGGTATACTTTAAGTCTGTATGTTTTCAACTTTTTGCTGCCAAGGCAACGGAGATTATCTAATATATATATATATATATATATGTGTGGAAGAGATAACTTGTGACAAGTGGTCAATATGAAAAGGATAGTGAAGAAAATAAAAATCTGTTAGTATTGGAATACAAATAATATATCTAGCTTACTCTTAATGTATTGGGAGAGCGAGTCGCTAAGTTGGTGGTGGTCCTGGTAGATAGGAGCTAAAAGGGCGAGGTTTGAACATCCAAACTAAAAATAAAGTGTTGGGTAAATACCATTGGGCTAAAAAGCCCTTGCTAGGAGTAAACAATTGAGTAGTGAGGTAGAATTAACTATATTCTCATAGAAAACTGCAAAGAAAACTCTAAACTTATATTCCATAGGCATTTTCATTTAAATAGAAATTAACTTCAAATTCTTGATGCTTGCACTTCCAATAGTCTACATGGAAATTCAGTGTTAACTCCTTCAGTGTTAAAAAGAAATCCTTATTAAAGTTATTAAGGAGTCTTGACTAATAATGCTCTTGAGATTCAATATCACATAAGCTAGAATGTGTTCTATTCCATTAAAGCTTTATTTCAATTTATTGAAGTGGCAATAGAATCCGTTACCTATTGATCTATTAATGTTAATTGTTAAGTTATGAGAGGCATCATATGTTTCTGTACCTTGCATATTACATAAATTAAAAAATAGATAGGGTCTGTGGGTGTGGGAATCCAAAGGTTTTTATTTTATTTTATTTTTTACCAGATGATGGGAAAAGCTTTATGTTTTGGCCAGTACTTGCGCTTGCATATCTATTAACTCTCTCTCTCTCTCACACACACACACACAGACTGCTACCAGATCAATAAAAAAGCTAATGGACTTTGTTTTAAATTTGTCATTGATCAATACAGACTGCTACTAGATCCTCCTTTTTGCTGGTGGCTGATGGTTGTTGCTTGTTGGTCTGCTGTAGCTGTTGGTTTGCTGCTGCGGGTTTGCTGTTGCTGCCGCTCTCGTGACTAATGCTTGCTGGGCTGTTGTTGCTGCAATGTTGCTATGAGGTGGCTGCTACTAGATGTTTGTCTGTTGGATAAGTTTGTGGGTGATTTTCATGCCGTTTTGCCTGTCTTTGTTAGTTTCATGTTTTCATTTTGTTATCTGTTGTTTCTAATGTGGGTTCACAATTAGGATGTATTTGAGTATTTTAGTGACTTTACCCTTTTAGGTTTTATACATTGCTTCTAAAAGCAGTATCAGTAGTGTTTTTTTTGCTTGCACATCAATTTTAAGTGATTTCATATCAATGTTATTAGTTTGTAATAGTGATGCCTGAGGGATGCCTCTTGTAAATTTGTAAATCTTATAAAAATATATAAATTATTTTCAATTATTTTTGTTGGTAAATGTGTCGCCGAAAGTTTATTTTTGCCCACTCATATTGTGTTGCTAGAAGTGTATTATTTGCCAATGCCAATTTGTCGTTACCAAAAGTAAACCTTTATCGACAAACAAATTGTCGACAAATGGCAATATTTACCGACGTAAGTGTGTTGCCAAAAGTTAACTATTGCCCACTTATATTGTGTTGCTAAAAGTGTAGTTTTTGCCAATGTTAATTTGTCATTGCCAAAAGTGAAGTTTTATCGACAAACAAATCGTAGGCAAATGACAACATTTACCGAAGTAAATGTGTCGCCAAAAGTTTACTTTTGCCGACGCATATTGTGTTGTTAAAAGTATATTTTTTGCCCATGCAAATTTGTGTCGCGAAAAGTGCCAAACAATCATCATATTTGAATGACTTTTACCGACGCAAGGTAAATTGCCGACGATGGATGAAGGCTTTTATCGACGACTATGTTTGTCGCTAAAGGCATTACTTTTACCAATGCAATGATAATTTCGTCGGCAAAAACTTTTGCCGACTCACTTTTGCCTACGGGTTGCCAACGTCGCTTTGTGTGTTGGCAAAACTATTTGCCAACGAATTTTTCCTTTTAACAACATATTTTGTTGCGTTGTGAAAAATGTAATTTCTTGTAGTGCATAGTAGTTGTTCCTAAACTTAAACTTGCAAGATAGATAGAAGTGAGTTTGATGAAATTCACCAAATTTTGCATGGATTTCTCACAAAGAGATTTGTTCTTGTGGTTGTTGGCCTTCTTCGTCATGGCAACTTCTTAGCTTACAAGTTACAAAGTATTTCTAATAATTTATGATATGTCACAAAAGCATTGAAACAACTGTGTATATATGGGTTAGTTATTTATTTATTTGGTGAAATAAGGGATCTCGGGTCTACTGTATAGAAGTTCCTGTAAATTATGGTTACTTTGTTGTTGTTGAATTCACCCCATGTGAAGGAGGTGATGCTCTTCCATGGGAACACACCTTGGTCAACAATGGAAGGCCACCAACCATCTTGAAGAGTCAAGGATGGAGGCTGCCCAAAGGCTCTCCCACCTACTCCCTCACCTATAAATGGAGGTTGAGAGGAGAGAGCAAAAGGTGAGCAAACCGTGAGACAACAAAGAGAGTGAGAGATGTGAGGCGGAGAGACCGTCTCTCTCGGTGTGAGCGAGGGAGACGGGTGAGTGGCTGAGTGAGGAGAGTGTGAGCTCCTCCTCTATTGTAATCTTTCTGTAATCTCCTCATTGGTATAGTGATAACCGGTTACTCTCCCGTGGACGTAGGCATTGGGCCGAACCACGTAAAATATTGTGTCTCCTTGTGTGTGGGTGTGTTTTTCTGCTTGCAATGATTTCTATATGGTCTTGGGCGGGATCCCAGATCCCAACAGTTGTTTTGTGGTGTACTTGTGTTGTTTTATGGTGTACTTGTCGATTAAATTGCAAATTATGAATGGACCTTGTTGGTGTTCAAAACATTGATGATGATGCTGCATGTATAAATAGCAAGTTCTCATGATTAAGTTTATTATTGAATCATCTCGATAGTTGTATTGGTTTCTCATATCTATTTCAGTTTTATGAAAGTTAATAATTTGTAAAAATATCTTGAGAGCAAGAGTCCCATAAAAGCGTCAATATACGTATATAAGTAGAGACATTTATCAAGTGATTTTTTATGCATTAATCATGTGCAAAACTAATTATATCAATTTAAAAATCAACTGAATGCATTTCAAATAATGTTTTTATTAATAGTTCATAACACCAAAAAGACTTTAGGGAGAAGGGGGCCCACAATTGCATAATAAATAAAATTAGCACTTAACTAAAATGATTGTTGAGTGTTCTACCATCTCTATACACTCTAGATCACATCGTACAGAGGTTTCCCACCTTTTGTGTGTGTGTGTTTTGTTGTGTGACCTTCAACACTTGGTTTGACTTAATTTTTGAGTTCTTGTCTAGTGGAAGGTATAATTTCTCATTCTATCACACACTTATACTCTAGTCACACAAAGAGACACCATAGGAGCTCTAGATGAACATCCATGTTGAAGTGTTTAGGATTGTGTTTAGTGGTTGTCAGTTTTAGGTGAGTTGAGAAAATCTTGTTTATTGTTATATTTGAGAGAGTAGTAATTGTGGAAAAGGTTGGTAGGTGATCCTACTGAAAACCCTTTGCAAAGTGGCCATTAAGATTTTGGGTGACCTTAATGAAAGCCCGTTTTGTGATATTGGGGATAGATATGAAAATTATGGAAAATAAGATAAAACTGCAAATTATTTTAGATATCATGTGGGAAGTTTTTTTTTTATATACTATTATTTTAGACTCTTTTTATCTTTTGCGTGTGTGCAGCTCAGGTTGTGAAAAAAAGTAAAGAGGTTGCAAGTTCACGGTCTTGGATGGTAAAGCTTTCTCTTTCATATTGTATGGTCGCTAAGTATCTTTAGATTCTCTCAGTTTCATGTGTTGTGGCACTGGCATCTGGAGGTGGTATGTGTTGGAAACTCTAGAGCTTAAATATCAAAAAAAGAGCCACTTCTTCCTCCCATGTTTGTTAACATAATGGTTCCTTTAAGATGTTGGAACATGCAAACTATTAGGTATCTTTAGATTCTCTCAGTTTCATGTGTTGTCGCTCTCACGGACAGTTTTCCCATGACAAATAGGACTTGTGAGAACTGACAGAATATAATCCGGATCCGTAGGTAGGGAGTTAGAGCCGAATATGCCCTAAACTTAGTCGAAAAAGGGCACATCGTACAGAGGTTTCCCACCTTTTGTGTGTGTGTGTTTTGTTGTGTGACCTTCAACACTTGGTTTGACTTAATTTTTGAGTTCTTGTCTAGTGGAAGGTATAATTTCTCATTCTATCACACACTTATACTCTAGTCACACAAAGAGACACCATAGGAGCCCCCGAACTTAGTCGAAAAAGGGCATTTCAGGGGTGAAAATTCAAAACAGCCCCCGAACCACCGTGTGACTCTCACAGACAGTTTCCCCATGACAAATAGTGTTACCCAAAAGACAACCTAAGAGGAGGGTGAATTAAGTTTTTACAAATAAAAATAATGATACCCTAATAAAAATTATGACTAGCACAATAGATAAATATAGTTAATGAAATAAAAATAATTAAAACAATTGTTCTAACAACTATGTCAGTTAATTATTTTAGCACAGTGAAAATGTGAAATATAGCTATGGCAATTTAAATAAAATAAAGAGATAAGGGAGAGAGAGGTAAACAAATTTATAGTGGTTCGGCTTCAACTCGGCCTACGTCCATTCCTCAAGCTCCACTTAAGATTTTTCACCATACTCTAGCTTTACAGGATGCTAGCAACCTTTTCACAGATGAAGTAATCCTCCACAAATTTTACACAGACTTTCTAAGGCAAGAATACTAAGTGTACTACACTCTTACAAGGTTGAAAAGAAGGTGTTTTTGCTTTCGCAGAAAGTTACAAGAATTATCTCTCAAATATAGATATAAAAATGAAGCTCTGGTTTTTCTGTAACCTCACACAGGAAAGATGGGTTTAAAGCTATACGTCCCAGTGTATAATTTCTGAAAGAGGATGTAAACAAAAATTGAAGAACACTTCTCCGAGAATTTTTCAGAGAATAGATGTGAGTGATTATAGATCAAAGAATATTTTCTGAATTTTTTTTTTTTTTTGTAACTTGTTTACACTAGAGGCTTTGATATATATAATGAAACTTATAGTCGTTTACAGCCGTTGTACTCCATCATTACTAATTTAAATATCTTCTACTTAAACCTTTTGACCTGCTGTTGTGCTGGGCTGTTTGAACATTTGTTTGGGTTGTTTGAACCTCTAGTTTGGACATTATTTTTGGGTTGAAATGAACTCCTGATTTAAGCAAATATTAAATACATTCAAACAATATTTAGGATAAAAGTTTAAGTGAGAAATAATGGGACAAAATAAATTTTGATTCTATTTTTCTCTTTCAAATAAATTAAAACATAATTTAAATAAATCATCTCTATCATGCCAAAGTTCATAAGGAGTCTTTTTGAGAATAGGTCTAATTAATGCACGATTTAAAATATAGCATGCGGTGTGAACGGCTTCGGCCCAAAAATATTTAGGAAGATTATTTTCGGAAAACATTGTTCTACTCATCTCTTCTAAAGTTCTATTCTTCATTTCTACTATACCATTTTGTTGAGGGTTCTAGGTGCTGAAAAATTATGTCCAATACCACAGTCATCACAAAACAATTCAAATTTCTCATTTTCAAGTTCTCTACCATGGTTTGTTCGAATATTAGTAATAAGAAAGTCTTTTTCATTTTGAATTCTACGATAGAGTTTTGTGAAAGAAGAAAATGTTTCATCTTTGTGTGCTAAAAACATAACCCATGTAAATCTTGAATAATCATCAACAATAACAAGACAATAATGTTTACCACTTAGACTAGATGTCCTTGAGGGACCAAATAAATCCATATGCAGTAGTTGTAAAGGTCTAGTTGTGGAAATGTGAGATTTTGATTTAAAAGATATTTTAGTTTGTTTTCCTTGTTGACAAGCACTACAAAGATGATCTTTTTTAAATTTAATTTTTGGAAGTCCAATGACCAAATCCTTTCTCAAAAGTTTAGCAATTAAATCCATATGAGCGTGACCAAGTCTTCTATGCCATAACCAACTATTTTCATTATTAACATATAGACATTTAACATCACTAACATAGAGATCATTGAGATGAAAAACTTAAACATTATCGTGACGATTACCAACGAATAAAGCTTTATGATTATTTGTGCTTTCAATTGTGCAATGTGATTTATCAAAAATAACTCGATTACCTTTATCACATAATTGACTAATACTAAGTAGATTATGCTTAAGTCCATCAACAAGTAAAACATTTTCAATAGAAGGGTTAGGAGAAATACCGATGCTACCAATACCGATGATTTTTCTTTTCTTGTTGTCACCAAAAGTAACAAAGCCTCCATCTTTGGATGACAGTGTAGTAAAGAAGGATTTATCTCCGATCATGTGTCTGGAACTTCCACTATTAAGGTACTACTTCCCTTCTTTAGCTTTAGACTTAAAGCAAACCTACAAGATGACAATCATGTGTTGGTTTTTGGTACCCATAATTTCTTGGGTCCTTCTTGGTTAATTTTGTTAGATCCCTTAACAATCCAAATCTTTTTAATTCCCATGTTTATATTATTTTTGAATAGACAAAAAGATATATAATGGCATTTGTTTCTACAATAATAACAAGTAATATGATGGTGAGTCATGAGAGATGCCTTTTCAAAAATTATATTGAGATTCTTTTATTTTTTTAATAGAGTCATATCCAATGCCCACTTTATCGAAAACGCATCATTGATTTCTAAGAAACATGTTGAGATTATTTCTACTTTTTACAAAATTTTCAAGTGTTTTTGTTATATCATCAATATTGGTTTTTAAAATAGTTTTCTCATTAGAGATAGTATCAAAATCATTTTTCAAAAAAAAAAATTCTTTCTTTAATTCTTCTACATTAATAGATAAAGATGCAAAAGATTTCTTCAACACATTGTTTTTGGCACAAACTTTTCTAAATTCATCTTATAGTTCATGGAATGCACTTTTAAGTTCTTCATAAAGAGTAGTTACCTCATCTTGAGTAGAGTCTTCATCTTCAAGAGCCATGAGACATAAGTTGGCTACTTCATTTTCAATTTCATCACTTGAGCTTTCATCTTCACTTTCTCCCCAAGCTGTTACCATGGCCTTTTTGTTTCTTCTGTAGTCTTTTCCATGATTCTTCAATTTTGGACAATCCATCTTCATATGTCTAGGATGTTTGCACTCATAGCAAATAATAGGATCTTTCTTGTTATCCTTGTTGTACTCTTTCTTGAAAGGTCTTCTTTCACCATAATAGTTTTTCTTGAAGTGCTTTTTGAGATTTCTACTAAGCATGACATAGCTTTCATCCTCATTGGAGTTTTTATGTTCTTCTTCTTTTGATAAGGCTTTAAACGCAATTCCACTTTTCTTTTTGTTTTCAGCATCCTCATGTCCTTTCATGGTGATCTCATGAGTCATAAGGAAACCTATAATCTCATCCAATCCAAGTGTGAAGAGATTTTTGGCTTCTATAATGGCCGTGACCTTTGCTTCCCAATTCTTTGATAAACACCTAAGAATTTTTCTTACCAACTCACTGTTAGTATAAGTTTTGTACATAATAATGGTAAGGATAACTAAAGTAAATTTGATTCAAAATCTGATGAAGCAATTTTTCTTGGTTATTCCTTAACTAGCAAAGCTTATCATGTTTTTAATAAAAAAAACTCTTGTTGTGGAAGAATCTATACATGTGGCATTTGATGAAACTAACATCTCTGTTCAAAAGAAAATTGTTAGTGATAATATAGATTTGGAACCAAATGTAGAAGATTCAAGTATCTACAAAGAAGAGAATCAACCATGTAAGTTGAACAAAGAGATTGAACAACCTATTCTCCCACCTCAAGAAGAAGGAGGAAACAATGATGATTTGCCAAGAAAATGGAAGTTTGTTCATTATCACCCTAAGGATTTAATCCTAGGTGACCCTACAAAAGGTATTGAAACTCGCTCTTCACTTAGAAACTTTTGTAGTAACTTGGCTTTTCTCTCACAGATTGAGCCTAAAAACTTTCAAGAAGCCGAATTCGATGAACATTGCATGATAGCTATACATGAAGAGCTTAACCAATTTGAGAGAAACTAAGTGTGGAAACTTATGTCAAAACCTAAAGATCATACCATTATCGGTACCAAATGGATCTTTTCGAAACAAGCTTGATGAATTCGGCACAATTATAAGAAATGAGACTAGACTTGTTGCACAAGGATACAATCAAGAAGAAGGTATTGATTTCGATGAAGCCTTTGCTCCGGTTGCTAGATTAGAAGCCATTCGCATGTTACTTGCATTTACATGCTTTAGAGATTTCACACTTTATCAAATGGACGTAAAAAGTGTCTTTCTTAATAGTTTTATAAATGAGGAAGTTTATGTTAAACAACCCCCAAGTTTTGAAGATCATGCTTTTCCAAATCATGTTTTTAAACTATCAAAAGCTTTATATGGTTTGAAACAAGCACCTCGTGCATGGTATAAATGATTAAGTAAATTTTTGATTGAAAATAATTTTTCTAGAGGAACGATTGACACAACACTTTTTGTTAAAACTAAAAATGATGATTTACTTATTGTGCAAATTTATGTGGATGACATTATATTTGGTGCTACTAATGAAACCTTGTGTAAGGAATTTGCTAAGTGTATGCAAGGTGTGTTTGAGATGAGCATGATGAGAGAGTTAAATTATTTCCTTGCGCTTCAAATCAAACAATGTAAGGAAGGAATTTTTATCAACCACGCTAAGTACACAAAAGAACTACTCAAAAAATTTGGTATGTTTGACTCAAAAATAGCTGGAACTCCTATGAGCACATCTATTAAGCTAGACAATGATGAAAAAGATAGGTCCATTGATCAAACAAAATATCGAGGTATGATCGGCTCACTTCTTTATTTAACCGCAAGTAGACCCGATATTATATTTAGTGTTTGTATGTGTGTTAGATATCAATCAAATCCTAAGGAATCACATCTTAGTGCTGTTAAAAGAATTTTTAGACATCTTGTTGGCACTCAAAACTTGGGACTATTTTATCCTAGAGGTGTTGCATTTGATTTAATTAGTTACTCGGATGCCGACTTTGCTGGATGCAAACTTGATAGAAAAAGCACCAGTGGCACTTATCACTTTCTTGGTAACTCATTAGTATCTTGGTTTAGCAAAAAGCAAAATTATGTTGCTTTATCAACGGCCGAAGCTAAATATATAGCTTCCGAAAGTTGTTGTGTCCAAATACTTTGGATGAAACAACAATTGGAGGACTTTGATTTGCATTATAACCATATCCCTATTAAATGTGATAATACTAGTGCCATCAATTTAAGCAAAAATCCAGTTCAACACTCACGAAGAAAACATATTGAAATTTGACATCATTTTTTAAGAGATCATGTTCAAAAATGGGATATTGTATTTGAATTTGTAAACACCGACAAGCAATTGGCGGATATTTTTACAAAACCTCTAAGCGAGGATCGCTTCAATTTTATTTGTCGCGAGCTTGGAATGTCGATTTCTACTAAAAAAGTTTTATTATGACTGTGAAACTTGATTTTTTGTTAAAATGATATATCTGTATTGCTACATTGATATGGAAACATTTATATCAGTTGAATGCTCTCAAGTCCTTCATACATTTATTCTCACCACGAATGGAAACATTTAACCTATGTATTTAGAAATGAATTCAGGGAGCATGACTTGAGGGGGAGCTTTTCTTACTCCCAAATCAAATCAAAACATTATTGTGTGCCATCATCAAAAAATGAGAGATTGTTAGACTTATTTATTTTGATGATTTATTTAATTATGTTTTAATTTATTTGAAAGAGAAAAATAGAATCCAAAATTTATTTTGATGATTTATTTAATTATGTTTTATTTTACTTGAAAGAGAAAAATAGAATCCAAAATTTATTTTGATGATTTATTTAAATTATGTTGTAATTTATTTGAAAAAGAAAAATAGAATCCAAAATATATTTTGATGATTTATTTAAATTATGTTTTAATTTATTTGAAAGAGAAAAACAGAATCAAAATTTATTTTGTCCCATTATTTCTCACCTAAACTTTTATCCTAAATATTGTTTGAATGTATTTAAGATAAAAGTTTAGGTGAGAAATAATGGGACAAATAAATTTTGATTCTATTTTTCTCTTTCAAACAAATTAAAACATAATTTAAATAAATTATCAAAATAAATTTTGGATTCTATTAAAACATAATTAAATAAATCATCAAAAGAAATTTTGGATTCTATTTTCTTTTTCAAATAAATTAAAATTAAATAAATCATCGAAATAAATTTTGGATTCTATTTTTCTCTTTCAAATAAATTAAAACATAATTAAATAAATCATTAAAATAAATTTTGGATTCTATTTTTCTCTTTCAAATAAATTAAAACATAATTAAACAAATCATCAAAATAAATAAGTCTAACAAATAGGACTTGTGACAACTGACGGAATGTAATTTGGACCCGTAGGTAAAGAGTTCGAGCCGAATACGCCTTAAACTTACTTGAAAAGAGCTTTCCGGGGGGTGGAAATTCATAACAGCCCCCGAACCACTATGTGGCTCTCATGGACAGCTTCCCCTTGACAAATAGGACTTGTGACAGTTGATGGAATGTAATTCGGATCCGTAGGTTGGGAGTTAGAGCTGAATACGCCTTAAACTTAGACAAAAAATGTGTTTTGGGGGTGAAAATTCAAAACAGCCCCCGAACCACCATGTAGCTCTCACGAACAGCTTCCCCTTGACAAATAGGACTTGTGACAACTGACAGAATGTAATACAGATCCGTTGGTTGAGAGTTAGAGCCGAATATACCTTAAACTTAGTCGGAAAATGGCGTTCTGGGGGCGAAAATTCAAAACAGTCCCCGAACCACCATGTGGCTCTCACGGATAGCTTCCCCTTGACAAATAGGACTTGCGACAACTGATGGAATATAATTTGGACATGTCACTACAAGAAAAAGCACTATTGGCGACTAAAAAATCACATTTCATCGCTGAAAGTATATCATTTGGCGACTAAAAATGCATTAGTAGCAAAAAGTAAAGATTTTTGGCGACTAAAAAATTTTAGTAGCCAAAAGTATAGGTTTGGTGACTAAAAATGTGTTTGGTCGCCGATATATGGCTTTTAGCAACTAAAAAAATTTTAGTAGCCAAAAGTAAGGCCTTTTGGCGACTAAAAAAAATTTAGTAGCCAAAAGTGAGGTATACTAAAAATGCATTAGTAGCCAAAAGTAAAGATTTTTGGCGACTAAAAAATTTTAGTAGCCAAAATTATAGGTTTTGGCGACTAAAAATGTGTTTGGTCGCCGATATATGGCTTTTAGCGACTAAAAAACATTTAGTAGCCAAAAGTGAGGCATTCGGCGACTAAAAATCTGTTTGGTCGCCAAAAGTGAGGCTTTAGCAACTAAAAAAAAAATTAGTAGCCAAAAGTGAAGCATTTGGTGACTAAAACATGTTTAGTAGCCGAAAGTGAGGCTTTTTGGCAATTAAAAAAAAAATTAGTCGCCAAAAGTGGTAATTTTAGCGCTGAAATTTTTTTTTAACGACTAAAAAATAATTAGTAGCCAAAAATATAGAATTGGCGTCTAAAATTATGTTTAGTCGCCAAAAGTGATGTCCTTTTTTTCTACTATATAGTTTATTTTTACATAAATTATGTTCAATAAAAAATAATTATGTTTATATATATAGTTTGATATTAATACGGCGCTAAGTACTATATAAATAATGTATGTTGCATATATAATCATATGATGTTACGGAGGCGTAGTGGAAGGAGTGTGTTGTATAAGGTTTATGGTGTGCGAGGTTGATAGTTGGTGGTTCGAATCTCCACAAGAGAAGAGCATGGTGTAATTTTTTTTTTTCGGAATGAGCTTTTGGCGACTAAATCTGTTTGGTCGCCGATTCCTTGAGTATTGGCGATGAAAACATTAGTCGGTAAATGTATAATTTAAAAAAATATAATTGACTATTGGCGACTAAAAATTTAGTCGCCAAATGTATAATTTAAAAAATATAATTGACTATTGATGACCAAAGTTTTGGTCGGTAAAGACTTGCTTTTTGGCGACTAAAAGTTTGACCAAACCGGCGACTAAAAAATTTAGTCGGGAAAACTTAAAACCGACTTTTGGCGACTAAAAATTTAGTCGCCAAATGTGTTTTTTCTTGTAGTGTGTAGGTTAGGAGTTAAAGCTGAATACGCCTTAAACTTAGTCGAAAAAAGGCGTTCCGAAGGCAAAAATTCCAAACAATCCCCGAACCACCGTATGGCTCTCACGGACAACTTCCCCTTGACAAATAGGACTTGTGACAACTAACGGAATGTAATTCGGACCCGTAAGTTAATACGCCTTAAACTTAGTCAGAAAAGGACTTGTGACAACTGTCTGTTAAGTTTATTTAATATTTTTCCCTAATCAATTTGTGAAGCATCTTTGATATCTACATGCAGATTGGATTCTTTTGAGAAAAGCAAAAAATACGTATTAGTATATAAAAATTGGATTTAATGAAACAATGCCAAAGAAATGTTATCAGTTGAATTTTGAGATTTTATTAGCATAGTTCATAATTCATAATTCATATTATCTTGTCAATGTGTATTAACCTCTAGCTTTCTCATTAATTCTAAATCTTTGGTAGATATATAATTGAGGTATTGATTTTGTTGTGACTTGGATTTTCTGGTAATTTACTGATGGATTCTGTTTATTCGTATGCTCATGTGAAGTTGACAAAAGAATTGCATTTGGCCAATTGAGAAGATTTGCTTCGCGAGAATTACAGATAGCTATAGACAACTTTAATGAGAAAAATGTCCTTCGAAAGGGGGGTTTTGGAAAGGTTTATAAAGGGGTGCTTTCAAATAATACTAAAGCGGCTGTGAAATGATTAAATGACTATGAGAGTTCTGCTGGAGACACAGCATTCCAGCGTGAAGTTGAGATGATAAGTCTAGCTGTTCACAAGAATCTATTATGTCTTATTGGGTTCTGCTCAACACCAACAAAACGCCTTTTGATTTATTCTAGTGAATTTTTTAAGTCTTTTGATTTTAGATATAGATGGTGTATGGATGTCACTGGTAGCTCATATGTTTAAATAGGTTAGTATGAAATTATTATTTTAAGTTGGAATATACTTTGTTAGCAATGTTGACATTAAAAGTTATAATTTTGTTTGGATGACTGTAAGTGAAATAGATGCAGATTGTGGAATGGGTGATGATATATATATGTATTGTTTTGTTTGTATACATGTTACAGGTTGCATGGAATACATATTGTAAGTATTAATAATACATGTAACCATAATAATAATGTGGAATTAAACTTAACAGGATCTTGAATTCAATACAACTCAAGAATAAAACGAACATACCTTTTTCAGTCATTGAATTAGAGAAGTTGAGAAAATACCCCTTAGAGTTGAACCTTTAATTCTTGGCGTCTCTCTTAATTAGGATGACTATAAAATTTAAAGTGATGGAAAATACTTATGATATGAAAGGGGAGTCACCCATCCTTATATAGAGGAGAGAAGAGGGCCAAATAAACTCTATCAGAAGAATTCCTAATCCATCAATGTTTCCTTCTTATCTTAGAAGAGTGATTATATTAAAATTCTAATTACTGAACTTTATATATAATACTGGCTTTATCTAATTGTGGAGTCCAAATAAAATAAAACATGTAAAATATGTAGGTTACTGGGCCACACTAGAAAATAAATCCAACATTCTCCCACTTGGCCTATTAAGTCGATTATGATGCAATTATGAGTTTTTCCAAAAATATGCAACTTATAAAAATTTTGACTCATTGGATTCCACACTAAAAACTTTGACACGTGATCACGAATTTTAAAAAATAGCCAATAAGTTCAGATATATTAGGAGCTATAATACCGTGATTACTTCAGATCACCAATATGAGTCATAGCGGTTATATAACATTTATGTCATATTTCCTTCTATGCACTACACCATCGATAACCTTCACCAACCCAGTCCATTATCAGGATATATAATTATTTTCCTGAAAGGCCCCTGTAATTTGTCTTGTTAAGACATTCCCTGTTTATCAATATTCAATTTAATGTGTACACACACTTTTAGAACAGGAAAAACAGAAACAAAATTATTATTGCGCAAATAGTGTCAAATGAAAATAAGCACTCACGATTAACCATACACATCAAGGGTTGCTTAAAAGACACATCCTGATAACATGCTCTTTGTATGTCTTTGGTGGCAATCCCTTTGTGAATGGATCAGCAATCATAAGAGAGGTGCTTAAGTTTTCAATTAACACTTGTTGTTTCTGGACTCTTTCTCTAACGACTAAGTACTTTACTTCCATGTGTTTAGAACCACTGGAGTACTTTCCATACTTAGAGAAGAAAACTGTTGCGGTATTGTCACAATATATCTTCAGCGGCCTGGCAATTGAGTCAACAACACCAAGTCCTGAGATGAAATTTCGCAACCAGAAAGCATGATTTGTAGCCTCAAAGCATATGGAATGTCCTTCATTTGTTTTCTTTCCAAGTCATTCCTTGGACACTGTTTTTCACTTAATTTATCACCCTTCATGATGGGTGCATCACCGGCTGAACAAAACTGCATATTGAATCTCTCCAAAACACGATCAATATATCCTCTTTGAGACAGTCCTAGCAATCCTCGAGATCGATCCCTAAAGATCTCTATGCCAATAACATAGTTTGCCTCACCCATATCGACCATTTTAAAGTTCTTGGAGAGATATTCCTTGGTTTCGTGCAATAAGCCAAAGTCATTACTAGCTAACAAAATGTCATCCACATATAGCACCAAAATAATGAACTTGCTCCCACTAACCTTCAGATATATGCACTGATCAACTGCATTTCCCTTAAATCCGAAAGAGATAATGGTATCATTAAACCTTAAATACCATTGCTTGGAAGCTTGTTTAAGGCCATATATGGATTTCTTTAATTTGCAAGCTAAATGTTCTTTACCTTTCTTTGCAAATCCTTCTGGCTGCTCCATATAAATTTCTTCATCCAAATTCCATTTAAAAAAGCAGTTTTCACATCCATTTGATACAACTCTAAGTCATAATGAGCTACTAATGCTAGGATGATTCTAAGCGAGTCCTTCTTAGATACTGGAGAGAAGGTCTCTGTATAGTCTATACCTTCTTTTTGAGTAAAATCCTTGGCAACAAATCTGGCTTTAAATTGTTCGATATTGCCTTTTGTGTCATGCTTGGTCTTGAAGACTCATTTACACCTGACCTTTTGGCAGTTATTAGGCAATTCAACGAGATCCCAAACACTATTCTGTTCCATGGATTTTAACTCTTCATTTATAGCATTGACCCATTTAGAAGAATCATCAGTATTCATGGCTTGTGAAAATGAGACTGGATCTTTGTTATTCCTAATATCAAAATCAGATTCCTGTAGATGCACCATGTAATTATCTGGAATGGCAGGCTTTCTTTCCCTCTGAGATCTTCTCAGAACTGCCAGTTGTGGTGGTTCTACAATATTTTTAATGGTGGTATCTTCATGAAGTGGTGAAACATAAGGTGGTGAAGGATTTTCATTATGTTGTTCATTTCCCTCAGCGTGTGGAAAAGTCCGAGGTACAACAATTTTTTTGATAAGGGTCAAATGTTGGGACATCCACCCTAATTTCCTCGAAATTCACCACTTGTGTTTTCTCACTCCCACTAATTTCACCATTCTCTAGGAATCTAGCATTACCAGTCTCCACTATCTTCGTACTGTGATTAGGACAATAAAATTTGTACCCTTTAGACTTTTCTGGATAACCAATTGTAGACACCCCATTTTTGACCGACCTTAAGATTCAGACGTCACCGATTGAGTGCTCGGTGATGTTGCGTTTTGTGCTCGTTCAGAAGTCTCAGAGCCGTGGCCGTGAGCCCTGCCTCCGGATTTCCGAACCCTCTTCTGTGCCTTGCCTCGGTTTGCGAACCAGACTCGGTTTTCTCTGTTTCTTTTCCTGAGGGGAGGGAGAGGTCCCGTAGACCATCTCTCAGTGGCCGTGGGCTACATTTTATGCCTGTAGGCCATTTTGCCCATTTCGGAGCCCGGTTCCCGGTTTTTCGGAGCCGTCAGGCCGTGTGGCTCGGTTCGGGACCGCCTAACTATCTCTGATTGCTCCGATTTTTTGCATGCATCTTATTTACTCCCTTTTGAGGGACACTGAGGTCTGAGAGACCCACTTCATGGTTGAATGCCACTTTCGGTGCTTAACGGGCAGTTTTCGAGGCCCCAAACTATGCGTTCTGGCCCCCGAACATTCATTTTATATCGGTTTTCGTTCATTTTTGGCAGGTACCTCTGTTTCATCACCAGGAAGGCCGTAGAAGGGTGGGAGGCCAGCAATTGTTTCAGCAACCAGTTATATTCCTCCGGCGCCCTCCGACGCCCGTTTTTCTCACTTCCAAGCCAATGTTGACCACCCTAGGGTCACTTTCTTCAATCCTAACCCCCATATTTGTGTTGTACACACATGGGAGGACACCAAAAGTTGGTGGCCGGCCAGTAATTCCACCTGACCCTTTTGAACCCTTCCTAAAAATGGCCTATTCTCTCTCCTGTTTTACAGTTGACAATTTTGAACCACAGCGGTTTGTTGGAGGGCACCTGGGAGGACACCAATTTGTAGTGGCCGGCCATTAATTCACCTTGCCCTTTTGACCCCCCAGGCGACCCTGGCCGGCCGGCCATGGGGGGTGGCCGGCCGGCCACCTGCAGCTCCAAAACCTGGCCGGCCTTGCTCCTCAGGGTGTGTATATTCCAGCTGTATATCTATTTTCCCCCCAAAAAACCTGTATCCGGGGGACAACTTTTGGGGGGAAACTTGATCCATTTTCCCCCCACTTTTTCCCTACATTTCTCTCCCATTTTTGTCTACATAACAGAGCCTCCAGCTCTGTCTTGAGGGTTAGAAAAATTGCCTTGAGCTTGCATATACATACCTCCCTTCATCTCTCTCTTTAACCCTAAAAAACAACCAAGTTCTACCCCTTTTTCTTCATCACCACCTAGCACCACACTACCACTTCCATTCCAGCAGCTTGGAGGTCTTCTCAGAGGCTAGGAGGCAGCTTTTCTTGGTCCAAGAGGCAGCAAAGGATTGGTCTTCAAGGGTGAGTTGATTTCTCCCTCTTTCTAGCATTTTTTGCAAGTTTTCTTAGCCCCTTTTGCTTGCTGTTTTGAGCTCCGACCAAAACTGAAAGTGGAATTTTTTGAGCCATTTTTCATGTTTGATTAAGGGTCTTACCCTGTTTGGGACCCCCATTTTGCACTTGCTTCATTACCCCTTTGTATGCCATAATCTTGCATAGTATTTTTGGCCTATGTATGATCTTTTTTGGAGCATGATGTAAACTGTAGATAGGCTTATTTTGAGTCCTTCTTCAATATTGAAGAAGGGCTCATTACTGTTTGGGACCTCCATGTGCCACTGGTCATTATCCCCCTCTTTGGTCCCCATTTTTGCATGATTTATTAGCCTATTGAGCTTCTGTTTTTGGACCTTTGTCTGAACTGAAAATGGCCCTATTTTGGCTCTCTCTTCATGTTTCATTAAGGGTCTATGGCTGTTTGGGACATCCTTTTTATACTTCATGTTATAGCTCTCTTGGTGCCATTATTTTGCATAGCATTTTGAGCATACTTGTATCTGTTTTTGGGGTTTGTCATAAACTTTAATACATCATATTTTTGGCCCCTCTTCAATATTGTAGAAGGCCCCTTCTCTGTTTGGGGCCATAATTTGTGAGTTCCTTCATTACCCCTCTCTTGGCCCCATTTTTGTATGCTAATCTAGCCTCATTTGTGTTCCCTGTTTGGCCATGCTTTAAACTGTAAACATGCTTTTTTGGGGGCTTCCTAGCTTCTGTATTCATACTTCATGTTCAAATTATGCATGCATTGCATAGCTATAGGCCATTTCATGCACCAAAATTCATGTTTCGGGACTCGTTCCATGCATCGGGTATCATTTTGCCATGATTCGGGACTGTTTTGCATCTCATTTTGCCTCTGAAAATTGCATGATCATATGCCATATTCCATGTCTTTGCCATGTCTCATTAGAGTGGCATTTCGGTGCCTGAGAGTCGGTCCTTGATTTGCGTGCACGCGTGCACGCATTTCGAGTTGTCTTGTTTTCATCTGATGGCCTCTTATGTGAGT